CAGCCAGCCAGCCAGCCAACCAGCCAGCCAGCCAGCCAGCCAGCCAGTCAGCCAGCCAGTCCGACAGACATCAGCTAGTTGATGCTTGTAATGAATGTATCTGGAACAGGCCTACGTGTAGTCAGAGGCCACAGGTCAAGTCATACACCCACATCCTCAGTTCACAAATATGAATTATGTACAAAATTATTATTACTCATACATTACTCCAGGAATAGGTCCCAAATGGCACACTGTTACCTCTATAGTACACTATTTCCTGGTGAAAAGTAGTGCACTATATAGGATATAGGGTGTGATTTGGGACGTACACCAGCCATAACATAACGTATTACAATACATTTTCCTGACCACACTTCTGACCCATTCAACAATCCACCTTTAATCTGCGGAACATGACGCTCACCATCATAAACAACACTCTACAGCAAAGACACTGAGTAAAGGGATCATGAAATGGGTTGGATGATTTCACGATCCATTCTATTCAATGTGCTTGTATTTATTATGGATCCCCATTAGTTCCTGCCAAGGCAGCAGCTACTCTTCCTGGGGTTTATTATGGATCCCCATTAGTTCCTGCCAAGGCAGCAGCTACTCTTCCTGGGGTCCATCAAAATTAAGGCAGTTTATACAATTCTTAAAACATTACAATACATTCGCAGATTTCACAACACACTGTGTGCCCTCAGGCCCCTACTCCACTACCACATATCTACAGTACAAACTCCATGTATACGTGTGTGTATAGTGCGTATGTTATTGTGTGTGTGTATGCATGTGTCTGTGTCTATGTTTGTGTTGCTTCACAGTCCCTGCTGTTCCATAAGGTGTATTTTTATCTATTTTCTAAATCTAATTTTACAGCTTGCATGAGTTACTTGATGTGGAATAGAGTTCCATGTAGTCATGGCTCTATGTAGTACTGTGCGCCTCCCATAGTCTGTTCTGGACTTGGGGACTGTGAAGAGACCTCTGGTGGCATGTCTTGTGGGGTATGCAATGGTGTCCGAGCTGTGCGCCAGTTGCTCAAACAGACAGCTCGGTGTATTCAACATTTCAATACCTCTCACAAACACAAGTAGTGATGAAGTCAATTTCTCCTCCACTTTGAGCCAGGAGAGATTGACATGCATATTATTAATGTTTGCTAAGGGCCAGCCGTGCTGCCCTGTTCTGAGCCAATTGTAATTTTCCTAAGTCCCTCTTTGTGGCACCTGACGGCACGACTGAACAGTAGTCCAGGTGCGACAAAACTAGGGTCTGTAGGACCTGCCTTGTTGATAGTGCTGTTAAGAAGGTAGAGAAGTGCTTTATTATGGACAGACTTCTCCCCATCTTAGCTGCTGTTGTATCAATATGTTTTGACCATGACAGTTTACAATCCAGGGTTACTCCAAGCAGTTTAGTCACCTCAACTTGCTCAATTTCCACATTATTTATTACAACATTTAGTTGAGGTTTAGGTTTTAGTGAATAATTTGTCCCAAATACGATGCTTTAAGTTTTTGAAATATTTAGGACTAACTTATTCCTTGCCACCCATTCTGAAACTATTTGCAGCTCTTTATTAAGTGTTGCAGTCATTTCAGTCACTGTAGTAGCTGACGTGTATAGTGTTGAGTCATCCGCATACATAGACACACTGGCTTTACTCAAAGCCAGTGGCATTTCGTTAATAAAGATTTAAAACAGTAAGGGGCCTAGACAGCTGCCCTGGGGAATTCCTGATTCTACCTGGATTATGTTGGAGAGGCTCCCATTAAAGAACACCCTCTGTGTTCTGTTAGACAGGTAACTCTTTATCCACAATATAGCAGGGGGTGTAAAGCCATAACACATATGTTTTTCCAGCAGCAGACTATGATCGATAATGTCAAAAGCCGCACTGAAGTCCAACAAAACAGCCCCCACAATCTTTTTATCATAAATGTCTCTCAGCCAATCATCAGTCATTTGTGTAAGTGCTGTGCTTGTTGAACGTCTTTCCTATAAGCGTGCTGAAAGTCCGATGTCAATTTGTTTACTGTGAAATAGCATTGTATCTGGTCAAACACCATTTTTTCCAAAGGTTTACTAAGGGTTGGTAACAGGCTAATTGGTCGGCTATTTGAGCCAGTAAAGGGAGCTTTACTATTCTTAGGTAGCGGAATGACTTTTGCTTCCCTCCAGGCCTGAGGGCACACACTTTCTAGTAGGCTTAAATCGAAGATATGGCAAATAAGAGTGGCAATATCGTCTGCTATTATCCTCAGTAATTTTCCATCCAAGTTGTCAGACCCCATTTCTTATCATTGCTGATAGACAACAATAATTGTTTCACCTCTTCCACACTCACTTTATTGAATTCAAAATTACAATGCTTGTCTTTCATAATTTGGTCAGATATACTTGGATGTGTAGTGTCAACGTTTGTTGCTGGCATGTCATGCCTAAGTTTGCTAATCTTGCCAATGAAAAAATCATTAAAATAGTTGTCAATATCAGTGGGTTTTGTGATGAATGAGCCATCTGATTCAATGAATGATGGAGCTGAGTTTGCCTTTTTGCCCAAAATGTAATTGAAGGTGCTCCAAAGCTTTTTACTATCATTCTTTATGTCATTTATCTTTGTTTCATAGTGTAGTTTCTTCTGATTTTTATTCAGTTTAATCACATGATTTCTCAATTTGCAGTACGTTTGCCAATCGATTGTGCAGCCAGACTTATTTGCCATTCCATTTGCCTCATCCCTCTCAACCATACAATTGTTCAATTCCTCATCAATCCACAGGGATTTAACCGTTTTTACAGTCATTTTCTTAATGGGTGCATGCTTATTAGTAACTGGAATAAGTAATTTCATAAATGTGTCAAGTGCAGTGTCTGTTTGCTCCTCATTACACACCACGGACCAACAAATATTATTTACATCAACAACATAAGAATCACTACAAAACTAATTGTATGACCTATTATACACAATATTAGGCCTAGTCTTTGGAACTTTGGTTTTCCTAGATATGGCTACTATATTGTGATCACTACATCCGATGGATTTGGATACTGCTTTCAAGCTAATTTCTGCAGCATTAGTAAAGATGTGATCAAAACATGTTGATGATTTCATTCCTGTGCTCTGTTGATATCACATACATTATCAAGCATTTCACACATGTTATCCAGATACTGACTGTTAGCACTTGGTTGTCTATAGCAGCTCCCCACCAGAATGGGCTTTAGGTGAGGCAAATTAACTTGTAGCCATATTACTTCAACAGTATTTAACATGAGATCCTCTCTAAGCTTTACAGGAATGTGGTTCTGAACATACACCTCAACCACTGGCATTTCTGTCATGTATTGCTACCACTGTATCATCTAAGGTATTATCTAAGTGAGTTTCAGAGATTGTCAGAATATGAATGTCATCTGTTACCAGCAAATTGTTGATTTCATTAACCTTGTTTCTTAAGCTACATATGTTAACATGGGCTATTTTTAGCACTTTTCTGTGATGCTTGGTTGTTTTTATTGCTTTACTGGGAAGCATAGCAGAGGCAGACCTGCTCAAGTTATTTATGTTAGTGCTGTAAGGGTTGGTGTGAGATGCGAGCGGTGCAGGATAGACAGTAAGCAGTAGGCATCGATGGTGAAACAAGGATCTTTACTGGTGGTCCCAAACCCCCCCCCCCCCCCCCCCCACCTCCCAGCCTGGGCTGCCTCCGGGTGGAGGTGACGATATGTTGTTATCAGCTCTGGGTCTAGAATGTCCCTCCTGGGCACCCAGGACCGCTCTTCCGGCCCATAACCCTCCCAGTCCACCAGTAATTGGAGACCCCTCCCCACCCCGCCGGCAGTCCAGGATCCGGTCCACAGTAAAAGCCCGCTGCCCTCCGACGAGGCGCAGCGGGGGAACAGGACGAGGAGGGGGAGCCAGGGGACAGGTGGCGAAGGGCTTGAGGAGGGACACATGGAACGTGGGATGCACCCGCATGGTGGGGGGAAGTTGCAGGCGGTAGGCCACTGGGTTGACTCGCCGGACCACTCTGAATGGGGACAGCTTCCTGGACTCCACGCAGAGGGGAAGATCCCACAATGAGAGCCACACCCTCTGTCCTGGGCGAAAAACCGGGGCCGGGCGACGCCTGCGGTTGGCTTGATGTTGAGACCTGACCGTGGCCTGCTTAAGCGCCTCCCGTACCTGCCTCTGGGTGCGGCGACAGCGACTGATGTGGGCCTGGACCGACGCCTCTTCTTGCTCGGGGAATAGGAGGGGTTGGTACCCGTATTGGCACTGGAAGGGGGACAGGCCGGTGGACGAGCAGAGAAGGGTGTTGTGGGCGTACTCCACCCATGCCAGTCACTGACTCCACGCAGCTGGGTTGCTGGAGGCGTAGCACCTCAGCACCCCCTCCAGATCCTGGTTAAAAACCGTTGTAGTTGCTTGAGGGATGAGGGCCAGGGCCAATCCAGTACCACGCTGACCTTGGCTGG